GCCCCAATGCCAAAGCATGGCCACAATGCCCATGCTGTTGAAGAGGATTTGTATGTTGCTACTGTTGAGGATTTGATGACTCCATTACCGATAATCAAGTTAAACCTGTTGAAGGCTGGGATTTTCCCAGGATGTGAAAAATATTGCTGCCTTTGTTCATCCTTACCATCCGACTGTCCGTTGTTGAAGTTAGGCATCCAACGCCTAATGGATAATCAAGAAATCCTTTTTGAAAAGACTCTTGTTACTCTGACTCCTGTCAATGATGTTTCTATAATTACCATATCCGCCAATCTTTCCAAGGTCTCCAAAAGACCTGTTAAGATTACATCCGATCCAAAGATTGTACCTCTAAAGATAACTATGCTGGGGCCCATTCCGTACAAGTCCAACAGATCAATACCGTGGAACTATGGGGGAGAGATCTTCTACAACGGTATTAAACAGATTGAATCAGTTGAAGAAAGTTCTGATGAAGAGACTTCCGACATTGGAAATATTGCTGGAACGAGTAAAATCACCCGCAGCGGAAGAATTTTCTCTTCGGAGATTGCTCCTCCAAGGGAAGTCTTCGGACACTCAATTGCTCCTAAGATCACTCCTGTGCCGGTCAACATATCTGCGAGAACTCCAGTTATTGAAGAAGTTATAACTCCCATGGTTGTACCCTCTGCTGTTGCTGCTGATAAAGGGAAGGGGATCCAAGAAGCGCCCGTCAGGACGAGGGCTTAGCCTTTGGTTATCCCCGAGACCACTCAAAAGGAAATGGAAGAGATTTTGAAAATAATCAAGAAAAGCGATTATAATGTTGTTGAGCAACTGGGGCAAACCCCCTCAAAAATCTCTATGCTGGCCCTGTTTCTCTGTTCCGAAGCTCATGCCAAAGCTTTGATCATATTCTTGAAGACGGCCCACGTGCCTCAGGAAACATCTACGGACCAGTTCCAGGAATGTGTAGCTAGCCTAACAGCAGACAACGGTCTTGGATTCTCCGATGCTGATTTAACATCTAAAGGGAGAAAGCATAATGACGCTCTGCATGTCTCGGTGGAATGCAGAGGGACTACTCTAGCTCACGTTCTGGTTGATACTGGGTCGTCTTTAAATGTCTTTCCGAAGAAAGCATTGGACATATTGGACTGTGAAGGTTTAACTCTGAAGCCCAGCAATATCATCGTCAGAGCCTTTGATGGTTCTAAAAGGATGGTCCACGGGGAGGTGGACATCCCGATTAAAGTGGGAACGGAAACTTTCAACTCCATATTTTATGTGATGGACATCCGTCCTTCCTATTCTTGCTTGTTGGGAAGACCCTGGATCCATAATGTTGGGGCCGTCACCTCTTCTCTACACCAAATGCTCAAATACCCAGTCCAGGGGAAAATTATAATTGTTCATGGCGAGGAGGAGTATATGATAAGCCATCTAAATTCATTCCGCTATGTTGAATTTGATAGTGAATTCATTGAGACCCCCTTTCAGCACTTTGAAGAGGTTTCTCCTGAAGTTGCAGCAACCAAGACAGTGTCTTCTGTGCCTTTGATTACCAAACCTGTGCCTCGGATGTCATCCCTCAAAGATGTGAAGGCTGTGATTGAAGAAGGAGGAAGCACAATGTGGGGTCAGCTACCAGACTTTCCTTTCAAATCTGATAAATTCGGCTTGGGTTTCACTACTTCTGCTCAAAAGGTTGTGCGCCGCTCCCGGGCTGGAGGGCCACCGTTGAAGATCACCCATCATGAAGTCAATGCTTTAGAAGATGGTGAAGAGGAGAGCAACTTTGAAGACTGGATTTTCCCTACTGTTGAAGGAGGACTATGCAACTGAGAGGCAAAGGACTTTGTTCCCATTACTTTCATAAATCAGTAATTTATCTTTCAAACATTTCTGTTGGTCTGTAATAATTCTTAAACAATTCGTACACTTTTTGCCTTGTGCCTTACCCGAGGTACATAGGTCCATTTGTAAGGATTTGATTTTTCATCTTCATATGCCATTTTAATGAATCATGGATGTTTTCATATATAAACTTTTGTGTTCATTTTTTTTCTTTTTACATTTTATTTGTTTAAAGGTGGCTATCCCTTACACACACCCACACTCACAAATGTAGGTACCCTTCCATTCCGGATTCCATGGGTAACAATTCTGCTATGGCCTTCAGTGACTCTGAAGATCTAGTCAATCATGTCGAATACGAAGGTGATGAAGACTGTGAAGTGCCTGGAGAATTGGCTAGACTGCTACAATAGGAAGAAAGGGCTATCCTTCCCCATGAGGAGTTGTTAGAGACAATCAATTTGGGTACTGATGAAGACAAAAAAGAAGTCAGAGTGGGTGCCAACCTAGAGCCAAGTGTCAAAGAGCGCTTAGTTCAGCTGTTAAATGAATATGTTGAGATCTTCGCCTGGTCCCACGAAGACATGCCAGGACTTGACACAGATATTGTGTTTCACCGTCTCCCTACTAGAGAAAACTGTCCACCAATCAAATAGAAAGTCCACCGAATGAGGCCCGATATGTCCGAAAAAATCAAAGTAAAAGTGATGAAGCAGTTCAATGCTGGGTTTCTTGCTGTTACTTCCTATCCTCAATGGGTTGCTAACATTGTGCCCGTGCCTAAAAAGGACGACAAAGTCAGAATGTGCGTGGATTACAGAGACTTAAATAGGGCTAGCCCTAAAGATGACTTTCCACTACCGCACATTGACATCTTGGTTGACAACACAGCTCAACACAAGGTATTTTATTTCATGGATGGATTTTCAGGTTACAACCATATCAAAATGGCCCCTGAAGACAAGGAGAAGATTACTTTTGTTACACAGTGGGGTACCTTTTGCTATAAAGTGATGTCATTCAGACTGAAGAATGTCGGGGCAACCTACCAACGCGCCATGGTAGCTTTATTTCATGACACGATACATCATGAGATTGAAGTCTACGTGGACAACATGATAGCCCGTTTGCAGACAGAAGAAGAACACCTCGACCATCTGCAAAAGCTGTTTGTCAGGTTGAAAGAGTACAAGCTCAGATTGAACCCTAACAAGTGCACTTTCGGAGTCAGGTTCGGTAAACTCTTGGGTTTCATTGTCAGCAACAAAGACATCGAGGTTGATCCTGCCAAAGTCAAAGCTATACAAGAAATGCATGCCCCTCGCACTGAGAAGGAGGTCAGAGGTTTCTTGGGATGCCTAAACTACATTGCAAGGTTCATTTCTCACCTAACATCTACCTGTGAGCCGATCATCAAGCTGTTGAAGAAAGATCACGTGGTTAAATGGAACGGTGACTGTCAAGTTGCTTTCGATAAAATCAAGGAGTATTTGCTAGAAACTCCTATCTTGATGCCACCCGTCGAAGGAAGGCCGCTAATTATGTATCTCACTACAAGAAAATTAGTGTTTAACGACACAAAAATTGCGACAGTTATGTGATAACTGTCGTAATTGACATATAGAGACAGTGTTTACGATAGTTGACACCAACCGTCCCTAATATTTATTTTGCGACGGTATATTTAACCATCATTATATTATTATTACGACGGTAAAACAACCGTCGGCCCCCATTTAACACTTTTAACATTGATTTTTCACCAACAACTAGTCACGACGGTAAAATTAACCGTCCTAAAAGGCATATCACGACGGTAAAGCACCCGTCGCACCCTTAAACCTTTCACGACGGTAAAATTATCCGTCCTAAAATTCATTTCACGACGGTAAAACAACCGTCGCACCCAAAACCTTTAAAAATTCTCATGGGCACGACGGTAAAACACCTGTCGCGGTAAAACAATTTTTTTTTGAGATTTATATAAATTTGATTTTATATCCATCATTAACACATTCAAATATAACATGAAATTAAAATTTAGATTTACAAATTATGAACCCTAAAATATATTATCCAATGTCTAGTACTAAAAAAGATCTTAGAACTAAAAGAAATTAAAATATTGAAAATTTATGAGTTCATTATTCTTCACTTTTATTTCTTTTCGAGATTAAAAATATTCCACAAAAATGCATTTGCACAAAGTTGAATGAAAAAATGATTCTCATTATAACAGAAATGAATTAATTATAATGATTTATAGTGCAAACTCAAACCCGTTCTTCTTCACACCGAAAGAAACCCCTTGACACCGAAAGGAATCTCTTCAAATCGCTCATCTTCACACCAAAAAACGCACAGCAATGGAAACTACATCCTCTGCGTTCATCTCTTCAAACACAGTAAGTTTTATGTATCACTTTTTGCATTGTTCTCATCTCTCTCATTCTCTGCCATTGATTTCAGCATTGGAGATTCACTTGAATCTTATGGTTGAGCTCTTTGTGATGATTGATTTTGAGTTTGAATATATTGAATTGATGTTAGGTTTTCTAATTTGTTATTTTAGGGTTTTATTTCTTTTTATGATTTTTTAGGTTTTCTAATTTGTTGTTTTAGGCATAAAACTGATATAAGAGGACCATATACTGATCCAAATGGGATAGTAGTCGTTTTGCAATTGTAATAATAATATTGATATATCAGTCACTCCCCTTGTTAGTTTCCTGGCTTTAGGACAGTATTTCGAAGGCACCAGGACCATAATGAGGTTAAGAGGATTCCTAAAGAGGAGATGTTCCGATTCTCTCATCAGGCACCGTTTTTTTATTACGACTTCCTGTTTTTAATAGAAAAACACTCGTGTTCTTCTGTGATTTACGTGGGGTCTCCGCTTGGCAACTTTCACTAAGTATGGGTTGGTGAATGGTAGAGATTACATTCCAGGTATAAAGTTGGTAGGAAATGGTCAGATACATATTTTTAGTTTGATCCTGAGTGGGAGGAGAGCTGCTCAAGAATTTCAATAGATTTAGTAGGTTATTTAGAATGACGGGGAACAGAGACCATGTCAATAGGAAGATGAGGTGGTAGGATTTTGTTGGCTAACGTTTTGAAAATATGTTAAATGTTTGGATGTGAAATTAGAACTCGAGAGAATGCTATTCATTCAAAAGAGATTACCATATGAACAGGATCATGTCAACATAAATGATTCTTCAACTTGTGATGTTATCCGGAACAAATTGGTGCCTCATAAGGTGTTATTACTTGCATGGATCATGTCAACATAAATGATTCTTCAACTTGTGATGTTATCTGGAACAAATTGGTGCCTCATAAGGTGTTCTTACTTGCATGGAGGCTATTTAATAATAAAGATTCAGATGTGGAATTACTCAATTGAAATCCAATTTGTGTGCCAAATTGTGATGATATTCAAACCTTTCAATATTAATTTTATAAGAATTTTAGTGCAACAGTTAAACATAGCTTTTCCTAATGATGCATTCTGTTTTATTCACGTGTATAAAAAGTTTATAGTTTGATGCATCTTAATATAACATACCTGTCTAGATTTTAACTCCCTTGCAACCCCTGCTGTTATTGCAGAGGTGAAATATTCCGCTGCTTCTTTGGCTGCTCAAAGTCTATTGCTAAGGTGAGAATTTCATTTTCAGTGCTTATAGTTAATGGCTAGTTAACTGTATTATACTCATGCTGGTTATTCTAAATCAATACAATTGATTTTGAAATGTTATTGTGTTCCCATTCACATTGGATCCTTTTCTGCTCTGGTACTTTCTTTACTCGAGTTTAGTTTATAAGTTTCGTGAAAAGTTGATATGTAGTTACCTATGATTAATGTTGAATTCTATATGTGCTGATGAATTTGTTGCTGGATATTGAGGATGATGCTGCTTGGCATGCCGCGGTGTCTGAAGATGAGGATGCTGGTGAGACTAGTAACTACGGATTTGGACAAGAATGTTTGGATAGACTTCTACCACTAAGGCCTCAAGGGTATGTGTGGTCCTCTCATAGCTTATAGATGTATCTATTTTTTTTCTACAAAAATTTTGGTATATGATACTGGTGTCCATGGTTAAATATTTGTACTCGTGAGGGCGAAAGCGATGAAAATGTATACATGTTTTGTTTCATAAGTTGGTTTCACCAGTTAGTAACCTTTGAGCTTAGTGATTGCTTGAGTCTTGGAGAACTAATTCATAATACATTGACCTGTTGTAAATGATGTTTCAGGTGTTTTTAATCATGTTTAACTTCTTAGTCATGTTTTTTTTCAGCTTTCAGTCTCACAATCTGAGAGCAACAATCACTCTAGACCAGCAAGAAGCAGTTCAGTGACTCGTCCTTCGATCTCCACTTTACAGTCTCAGTACAACAACAACTATTCTTCAAACAGATCCTCCTCCACAAATATCCTCAACACAAGCTCAGCCTCAGTTTCATCTTACATTAGACCATCTTCCCCGATACCCCGTTCGACATCTTCGACAAGGCCTTCAACTCCTACTTCGCGCACAACACCATCAAGGGCGTCAACACCTTCCAGAATACGTACAGTTTCGACAAGCTCTACTGCTGAAAAGCCTAGACCAATATCACAAAGCTCGAGGCCTTCCACTCCTAGTTCTAGGCCTCAGGTTCCTGCAAACTTACATTCCCCATCTGCACCATCGACTCGATCGTTATCTCGTCCTTCTACTCCCACACGTAGGAGTTCAATACCATCTCTTTCTCCTTCCTCTGCAACAAGTTCTTCAACTTCAGCTGGACGTGTTCCATTGAACGGGCGTAGTTCAGCACCATCCTCACGGCCAAGCTCACCAAGTCCACGAATCTGGGCCCCACCACAGCCTGTTGTTCCACCCGATTTTCCCCTTGATACACCACCAAACCTCAGAACAACGTTGCCCGATAGACCTGTCTCTGCAGGTAGGTCCCGTCCGGGTGTTAACACTTTGAAAGGAAATACTTCTGAAACCCAAGCGTCGGTTAATATGCCAAGGCGAGCTTCGTCTCCTATTGTCAGTAGAGGAAGATCAACAGAACCTGTCAGTAAAAGTCGTGGATTTGCCAATGGCAATGGCCATCATGCTGATGTTCATGAACCTAGAAAAGTCTCACATGCTCCTGAGGTAGCTGCAAGAAGATCAGTTAAAGCCTCAACCAACACAACTGACAACTCTGGATTTGGAAGGAATATCTCAAAGAAATCCTTGGATATGGCAATCAAGCACATGGTTTGTATACTCTATTTTGTTGCCGAATCTTATTTTGTGAAGATGTATGCTCCAAGCAAGTTTTTTTTATCACGCAAACCCAATTTACACGCACTTTTCTGTTTAATAGGACATAAGGAACGGCTCGGGAAATCATCGTGCACTATCAAGCACCACACTGTTTCCACAAAGTATTCGAAATTCCACGCCCAAGAGTCAATATAATCGAGGTTCAAGTGCTCCACCAACATCTATCGAAGCGAACGGAAACATACTAAACAAAAATAATGGATCCCATTTTGACGTGGTAAACGGAATCAATAGAAATATGATAAAAGGAAGAGAGATAGATGAAAGACAATACTCAGCAAAACTGAGTGAAATTGACGTATACGAGAGCTCTCGTTACGACGCGCTGTTGCTTAAAGAAGATTTGAAGAATACAAACTGGCTTCATAGTGTGGATGATAAATTTGATCAAGGCTCCTTATTATTTGATAATGGATTCGAGAACCTGCCTGAGCCTTTTGGTCTCTTATAGTATGTGTATCTAAAGAGGTTCTGCTTGAAGCAATTGTAACATGTTATTTATGTTGTAATTCTTATCTCATTTTCTTTTTTAGAAAGATGGGATATTTCAAATTATAAAGCTCAAAGTGGAAAAGAAAGTAAAGATGCATTATATGTTTATATGTTTTCTGCAATTTGCAGAGAAATCAGTGGATTTAAATTCGATCTTATACATATACAAATAATGTAGAAAAATATTTCGTGATATAGGTCCAACTTTAAACAAAAGTCAAGACATAAACAAAAGTCATGGCGACAGTAGCGAACCGTCGTAATCAACAATTAAAAATAATCAACAAAAGTCATGACGGTATCGAACCGTCGCCATAAACAATTTAATCAATTTCAAAAGATATTCACGACAGTATCGAACCGTCGCCATCAATAATTATAAGAAACTCAAAAGATAGTCACGACGGTATCAACCCGTCGTAAACTTGAACGACAGTTTTTGTAACCGTCGCGAAATAGGTTGGGGACACACACTTCTGCGACGGTAAAGCAACCGTCGTGGAAAGCAAATTGCGACGGTTTTAACCGTCGTAATCTACAAAAATACCTGTCGCAATCTGCCAATTTTCTTGTAGTGTCTGACTGTCTTAGAAAATTCAATGGGGTGCGTATTGGGCCAACATGACGAGTCTAGCCGAAAAAATCATGCCATTTATTACCTTAGCAAAAAGTTTACCGAGTGTGAGACCCGGTACTCACTGCTCGAGAAAACTTGTTGCGCTTTGGTAAGGGCTGCTCGCCGGCTAAGGCAGTATATGTTGACTCATACCACTCTACTAATATTTAAGATGGATCTGATCAAGTACATCTTTGAAAAGCCTGCTTTATCTGGAAGAATGGCTAGATGGCAGATGATCCTGACTGAATACGATATACAGTACACGACCCAAAAAGCCATAAAGGGGAGTGTACTAGCTGACCATCTGGCTCATCAGGCTGTCGAAGATTACCAATCCATGAAGTTTGACTTCCCCGACGAAGACATTATGACATTGAACAACATTGAAGATAACGGACTGTATGACGGACCTAAACAAGGATCCCGATGGACTCTGTACTTTGATGGTGCCTCCAACGCACTTGGGAACGGTATCAGCGCGGTACTCATCTCTCCACAAGGTTGCCATACACCTTTCACTGCCAGACTCTGTTTCAGTTGCACCAACAACATGGCAGAGTATGAAGCTTGCATTTTTGGACTCAAGGCTGCAATAAACCTGGGTATCAAATATTTGATCGTGTTTGGGGACTCAGCTTTAGTGATCAGTCAAATCAAAGGAGTGGGACACTAAGCATCCTAACCTCATCCCTTACAAAGAACATGTCTTAACATTGTTACCTCATTTCGAGCAGATTACCTTCGAGCACTTCCCGCGAGAAGAAAATCAGCTAGCAGATGCTCTAGCTACAATGTCCTTCATGTTTAAACTTAACTGGGATAATGAGGCTCCCCAAATCACCATTGAGCGGATGGACGAACCGGGACATTGTCACGAGATTAATACCGAAGAAGTAGTGGATCGACCATGGTTTCACGAAGTCAAAAGGTATCTCGAAGCACAAGAATACCCTGAAGAAGCTTCAGTCAACGATAAAAAGTTCTTAACGAGATTCTCTGCCAAGTTCTTCCTGAGCAATGGTATCCTATACAAGCACAATCATGATTGCATCCTACTCTGTTGTGTGGACAAGGTTGAAGCTGAACAGATCATGGCTGAACTGCACAATGGTACCTTTTGCACTCACTCAAGCGGACATACGATGGCTAAGAAGATTCTACGGGCAAGCTACTACTAGTCTACCATGGAAGCTGATTGTCATCAACATTCCCGTACTTGTCACAAATTCCAAATCTATGCTGACAAGGTACATATACCTCCAGTTCCTCTCAATGTCTTAACAGATTCTTGGCCATTCTCTATGTGGGGAATCAACATGATTGGAGAGATCAAGCCTACAACATCCAATGGACACCGTTTCATTCTGGTGGCCATTGATTACTTTACCAAGTGGGTCGAAGAAGCTTCCTTCGCCTCCGTTACAAAGAATGTGGTTGCCCACTTCATCAAGAAGAACCTCATATGCCGGTACAGTATCCCCGACAGGATCGTCACTAACAACGGTACAAACCTGAACAATACTATGATCACCGCTATGTGTAAGCAGTTCCAGATTCAACATCACAATTCATCTCCCTATCGACCAAAGATGAACGGTGTTGTCGAAGCTGCGAACAAAAATATCAAGAAGATCATACAAAAGATGACAATCACCTACAAGGACTGGCATAAGATGTTATCGTTTGCTCTGCACGGGTATCGTACCACGGCACAAACATCAACTGGGACAACACCCTATTCTTTGGTATACGACATGGAAGCTGTTTTGCCCATCGAGGTTCAGATTCCCTTGAGAATCATGAAGGATATTGGTTTGAGTGAAGATGATTGGATTCAGACCCGGCTTGATCAACTTAACTTGATTGACGAAAAGCGACTTACCGCTGTTTGTCATGGTCAGACGTATCAAAAACGGATGATCAAGGCTTTCAACAAAAAGGTCAGGCTCCAGGTATATCAAGTCGGAGATCTTGTAATCAAGCGGATCATCTTGCCGCAAAGTGATCCCAGGGGAAAATGGGCTCCTACCTACGAAGGACCATTTGTGATCAAAAACATCTTTTCTGGTGGGGCAATGATCTTGAGCACCATGGACGGCGACGACCTACCGCACCCTACGAACGCAAACATAGTCAAAAGATACTACGCATAATTGACCCGGCAAGTTGAAAACCCGAAAGGGCGACTTGGGCAAAAATGGGCATCCCGGTGAATCGAAAACCCGAAAGGGCGGTTCAGGCAAAAATTAGGGATAAACAAAAAAAATCTATACACCCGGCAAGTTGAAAACCCGAAAGGGTGACTTGGGCAAAAAAGGATTTCCTGGTGGATCGAAAACCCGAAAGGGCGGTCCAGGCAAAATTTAGGGAATTAAAGCGTATGACTATGTCTCGTCGGATCACTTTAAGAACAATCTCTTCACAGACAAGCTCCGGGCTTCTGATCAATCTAATCATCGTCGGACGAAGCAACGAATGGACAAGATATCCAAAGTTACGAAGGCTATAGCAGAATGGGAACCCCATGGAATTTTTACACATAGCCACCTTTCTTTGTATAAATTTTTCTCATTTTTACGACAACATTCTCTTACTAGGATGTATGTCTCCTTTGTACAAAATACTTACGCAAAGTTAATACAAAGATACTTTAAAGTGCAGAAAACTATTTGCCTTCTCTTTCTTTTTACACTTGTGTTTTATTTGAAAACGTCCAATGATTTATTTAATGAGCATATGCATTTGAATATAATCACATGTTTACGAATAAACGAAATGGGAAAGAATAATTACTGATAGGTTGAAGGTATAGGAAGACGTCTTTAGGCTATTCCAGGAGAAATCCCCTGCAGCATATCATCTGGATCCCCAAGTGGAGCTAAAACCATGAAATGCATATCCCCAGCGGAGTGAAATTTCAAAAATCCACATCAGAGTTAAGTCTTCAAACTCCCAATCCCCGGCGGAGTCATATTTTCAAACTCTTAATCCACCATCAGAGTTAAGTCTTCAAAATCCCAATCCTCAGCGGAGCAAAAACTTTGGGTCATAAATCCCCAACAAAGATGAAACCTTCTTCCCCAGCGAAGTCAAATTTCCAACTACCAATCCTCAACAGAAAGCATCCAGTTTCTCCAGATTCCCCAGCAAGTTATCTTAAAATCTGAGAATCAACCAGATAACAATTAACTTTTATCCCCAACTAAGGATAATTCCCCAGTAGATTGGCATACAACCCAAACTCCTAAACTCCCCAACAGTAAGTTTCCCCAGAGTCCTGAACTTACTCTCCAGCAGGATAGCTACTCTCCAGCAGTATAGCTACTCCCGACAGAGTTCTTAGTCCCCAATAGAATGAAAGTTCTCATTCTTGATTCCCCAGTAAAGTTGCCAGAGCTTTCTTTACTCTCAGCATGAATTTGTCAGAATTTTTAATCCCCTAGCAGATCAAAGATTCTCATTCTCAGTTCCCCGCAGAAGCCATCAAAGTCTTCCTTATTCTTCAGCAGATCAAGGTTTTCTTTCATCTAAACCCCAGTGGAGATCACCATAAGTTTTCCATATTCCTCATCCGAGTAAGGGTTCCCTTTGTGTAATCTCCAACCATAATCATCAAAGTTCTCGGGATTCCCCAAGCAGGTTTCTCAAACAACACTTGGCATTTATTCTCATAACAGAATGTTTATCATACTCCAAAGACTTGAAGGATCCCTATATCCCCAGGAAAGTCGTGAAGGATTCTCACATCCCCACATAGGTTGTTAAAGTTATTGATAATCCCCACGAGCTGCCAAGGATTCTCTATCCCCAAGCAATCAGCAAGGATTTCTTATCTTCAGCAATCAAAGATTTTGAATCTCCAGCAGTGGTCATGGATTTATTTTCCCCGGCAACAGTCAAAGATTTTATTATCTCCAAGCTATCAAGGATTTATTTTCCTCAGCAAGATAGAAAATCAGCTTACATGCACATACATTACATTCATATATCATAAACATTGATAAAACACATATATTGCATCATACATTTCATGCAACATAACTTTGTGTTTCAGCTAACATTTTACCCTTTTCAGGATAAGATTAACAAGCTACCATCATACAATCAGAAAACAGCGTAGAGATGCTCCAGACACGAATGCTATTCTATTTGCCTATTCAGATTCAAATCAGAAAACAGCTTAGAGATGCTCCAGACACGGATGCTATTCTATTTTCTTATCAGATTCAAAGCAGAAAACAACGTAGAGATGCTCCAGACACGGATGCTATTCTATTTGCTTATTCAGATTCAAAGCAGAAAACAACTTAGAGATGCTCCACGCACGGATGCTATTCTAT